ACTATATAACGAATATATATAAAAAACCTTTAAACAGCTCCCAGCTACGTACCAAGTGTCTTAGCTCGGCCCGTCCCCTTCCGTTAGTCACGGCCTGGACAGTCCTCATGGCACGTATCTGTTTACGTATTGGATATTACGTCATCGACTCCTAGGATAGGTCTCCTGTAGTAGTCGCTTCAACTCGGCTGGTTGTAGCGGACTTAAGGTTCCCACTTCCTGCGACTCGCCACGCCTTCTGGTGTAGACCTTGAAGATCGTGGTGACGAACCAATTTAATTTTGTTAAGTTCTCCAATGAGTTGTCGGCTGGGGCCAACATTGAGTTCAAGCTCATGGGCTTGGGGACGGTAGGAAGAATATAGGTTGAACATAATGCAAAGTTGTATAGAGATACTTGAGTCATTAAACTCTCTCCCAGAATACAAGCCCAGATAAAGTCTTTTTTCTGTGGATCTTTGATTCAGTCAATGTATAATACAGTTCCTTTCAAGTCTCCATCAAAGCGCAAGTGGTTTAGTGGTAAAATCCAACGTTGCCATCGTTGGGCCCCCGGTTCGATTCCGGGCTTGCGCATTATTTTTATTGACTGTGCATTATACGGTGATATGGAGCTGGCTGAGACAAAAGTATCCATAAAGCTCAATTTTTACAAGGGCGAAGAGCAACTTGAAAATGACATTAGATGATTGCGTTTCTGCGTTGACATGTGCAGTTAAATAAAGAGGTGCCTTTTTTTGTTCTCAGAACACCATTTATACTGGCTGAAATTTCTAATTTTAGGTACTTGCAATGCCGTTGGGCATCGGATTTGCAATTTTGCTTTCGTCCTGATATATCCGCAGTTTATCACGTAAAATTGTCTGGTCTATGACTCAATAACCTATCTTAGAAGATCGATCAGAAGATCAAATAAGTATTTCGTTTCTTGCCTATCCTTGGCTTTTCCGTGTGGGCAGATGTTCAAACTTCTCGAGAGTAATGGATTAACCGATCACGCTAGCTTTTAGAAAGCTACCATTGAAATGTTCAAAGCCCAATTGAGTTGGGTAGCCCCATACACTCGAAAAAATGCTAGTTATGATAAAGGAACACAATTTAAAATAGCTTTTGTTTTCTTGCTTAAGAAATTTGATTGCCACTATATTCCGTGCATTATAGTTTTATTTTCATTTTCCGGAGCTGTTCACTGCGTTTGCCAAATAGCACGTGCGAATTAGATTCTCTTATTGTGTATTGTATTTCAAAAACTTTAATTTGTAAGTATAAACAATAAAGCCAAAACATTCACGATGAGGGGTTCAGGTTAGGAGCTCAAGGTAAATATAAACCATTCAGGTTGGTGATCTCAAACATAGGGGAAATTTCTGGCAGCTCGATGATTTTTCTTGATGTAGCATGTAATAATCTTAGGAAAACGATACTTAGGAAAACGATACTTTGCAAGATCCAGCGACAGCAGTAAATCGTTTAATCTCTTAGAGCATTTGAAGATTTCTTCTAAAGAAAGAGCAGTGACTTGCGGTTCGATTCAGCAAAGATCTGGAAGCCCCTTCAATCTGAATCATGAAATTATGGGTTCAAACAGGAACAAAACCGAGTTTTGAATTACGATATTTATACCGAGTCTGTAAAATATAGATATATCTCACCTTGTATCTTTTTAAGCTCTTTGGCCTGGGGTGTCGAGTAGTCTTTCTTCCCCCAAAATCGCTGTGACAGAGCTTCCAGTGCTGTTGCCTTCAGAGTTTTAAGCTTTTTTTAAATTAAGTGTGGACACCATTCTCAAGCTTAGTTCCATACCGTGGAGGGGACGAAAAGTTGGGATGTGTATTTTTTTGTTTATTTCTCCCAAGCCCTAAAATTATCAAACCAAAACCACGAGTCTTTATTAGACAAAACTCGAGAATTGTGATGTAGAGCTCATCTAGACCTACTTTCTCAAATTATGTGGGCAGCAACAACGTAGCTTCGTCAATTCGATCGAAAGTATATGCTTAAAATTAAGTTTTTTGTTAATGAATTTTATTTCCACAGAATTGTAATTATACATTTCTAATAAATTTCAGATGCAGCAGCAGATTTTTTTCTTTACTTGAAATAGTTTCGCCAGCTCACCTTCATAGATTTCCTTATAGTATTTGGTATCTATTGACAATTCAATAAATGGAAAGTAACTGGATTCTGAATGCAAGAGCAATTCCTATCAGATTCAAACGCCTATACATTGATTTGAAAAGAAGAATAAGCCACTCCTGCAAATCAGAATCATCAAGCTTGTTTTTGATTAAGCTTTTCTTCAGTTCAAGTTTCATCAGGTTTTGTGACTCTTAATATCAAATGCCAAGTAATTTAAAACAGTTATATTCATTATTCTTTGGTCATCATGTTTAGCTAAAGTACACAGTGTGTTGCTTGTCCAAATTTTTGTTGCCCTGAATTTCGACGTCATGAGGTTGAACATTTGCGTGACGCTTCCATACTTCTTTACCCAGATACTAGCAGTGATCATTAGTCAAAACACTATCACCACCAACCAACGTGTGGAAGTGATAGCAAGTCTCACCATCAATGAAGGTGTTTTTTATTCGATTATACACAACAACTTTCTTACTTTGTTGGATAAGTTTGAAAATGCAGGAAGGCTTTACGTTACAGCCTCTACCGGTTCGCAGGCTTCATTATTACTGACTGGAATTCACTTCAAAAATTCCGGTGTAATTGTCTTTGAATCCTTTCCTCTCGGTGAATCTACGTATCACATTTATGCCGAAAATTTTTTCGAAAACAATGGGGTGATGCTCTTTGGAACCCTGGGCGAATCTTCCGGGATAACCAGAATATCTGTTTTGGCTAGGGAGTCATGGACGAACACTGGTATGATGTTTTTCGTTGAATCCAGAGGGCTCCCTTCTCACTTGCTCCTAGGAAAATCTAATAGTACAAGGAAGAACGTAACTATCACGAATGAAGGAACTATTTGCTTCAAAAACCTCTTTTGGCGCTCATTTACACGTATTGAAGGGTATGGCTGTATTGCTATAGGCTTTGAGTCGACATTCGAAGTGGATATTTCAAAATATTCTGTTTCCCCGCTGCAGATTTTTAGCTTGGATCCTACAAACTCGAGGTTGATAGTACGTGGACTCAAAACACCCATGGATGAAATTCCTGTCATCAAAGTCGTAGGCCTTGGAGAAGGGAATTCCATCGAAGTTGAAGTTCTCTACAGACAGATTGCCGCATGGGAATTTTCTTCCCCTGGTTTATTTTCACTTTTGATTGCTGACACACCTCGAGTGACTTTTGATCTTGGTCCAGAGTACTCTTTGCGAGATTTTCAGGTCTCGGCATCATTCTATGGCTGTAAGATTACCGTCCACAGGCCTGTTCCACCTCTTCCACTTGTGTGCAGATGCGATGTGGAGTTTCCCAGTGCCCCAACAGCTCTTCCTTAGCTAGCGTTTTCTGTCGTATCTAGTCTTTTGGGAAATACCGAAGTCCTCTATTTTCTGGCTCTCTCACCTGTATTGCCTGTCCTTATCTCCTTAATCAATAAAATGGATAACATAAACGGCTAAGGAACGCGCAGTACGACACTGAAATGGGGAACTTTATGGCTTCATGAAAGTAATCATACGATTTTGATCTCGGCCAGAAATTCTGGTTAGTTCCTAACTTTGTTCTGGTAAAACCATGTTCTAGTACTCCCCGATACAGGACAGGGTGTGGGATTTCGGACGATCTTGGAAAATTTGAGTCACAAGACCCATGTACCCGGATCCAAGAGTACATTAAATTGAACTTGAAAGGTCTCAGATATACAAAGTGACTATATAATTAATTGGGTGATGGACGAGAGCATTCTCTGACCACTGATTCTCATATCATCCATTAAAGACTGTATAAAGACCATGCACGTGAGTATACCAATATACACGTACTTAATCGTATGTGTCACGTGATATGAGTGGCTATACGCTTATTCTGCGCAAACACAGAATGGGCTGAAGAACAAGTCGATTCTGCAGCTTTAGTTTGTGCCATAAGTAGTTCAATGGCATGCAGTTAACTGACCTATATATCCCTCAACATGTAACGAAGTTTTTTCGAATCCCTTTGATTTTTGTATGGCCTTTTTGCATTCTCACTTTTTACAAAAACGGATCGAAAAGTAAATAACACTCCAAACTACTCAAAAATTACAGATACGTCAAAAAAAAAATACTGCACAAATGAAAAAATCAAGTTAGCATTCAAACAATAAAAAATTTTATTCTAATTTAGTCACTATCGAAATCTCAGAGAAAAATATTCAAGCAATCTCACGCTTAGCAATGCAATAATCCGGACATCCGAGGCACGGTTCGCTGAGCGGCCTTGGATTCGATTGTAGCTTCGCTAATAATAATCTTGATTCTCTTATTTCTTTGCATTTCAGTTATTTTATTTGATCCTATCACTTCTTGCCAATTTAATCAAGAATCAAACCAACGACTTTGAAAGAGACTTGAGCAAGCATCAATGAAGCATCATCATGTACATTTGGAGATTTGCATAGGAATGCTGCATATCCTAACGCTTCAGGTAGAAGCTTAGCAGATTCAAAAAATTTTCAATGAAAAATAATTAATCCCACTAAGCCACACGTCTTTCAATCCTTGAACTACTAAACCAAAGGGCTCGAGGTGGAGAATTTTTCTCAATGGAACCATACCAGAAAATGACCTGTATAACTCTTTCTCCAAAAAACTTTTGTTTTATTTTGACTATTTATTTGTATTATTTCAAAACACGTCATTTAATAGCCCAATATTGCTGTTCCTTTTACACAATGTGCAAATTTGGGACATTTCTCTCCAGTGACTCACGCAAGATAATCACATTATCCAGAAATCTGGCTGTTAGATTGACGAGTCACTTTTAATTGGCTTGATTTGAGTGGGCTTTCGAGTGCTCTCCAATAACGTAATATATTCGAAATTGTAAAAGATTGTTTGTCGTAGGCCAGGAGCTGACAATATACAGTTAAGCTTGATGACTCTTTGAACTGAAAATAAATTATAAGATTGCCATTGATATTACAACTCTGTGATTATCTTGTAGACTAACTCGAAAGACCTGGTACTAAAGAGGACAAGACTGAGATCTCTCAAGACTTCGAAGACGACAGTTTGCGATCGCCTTTTCGGTAGTTGACCTTCTTAAAACGTTTTGTACTTCTGAATCGATTTATTACCCATAAAATCTAGATCAAATATCTACAAATTGGTCTTACAACAAGAAGCGCCTGCGGCATTCTTAGCACCATCGGATTGAGCCAACACAGACTTGTTAAAGGACTGTGCGGACTGAGGAAGGTCCAACCCTGGATTCCTGTCAAAGAAGTTGGTTGGAACAAGATGGATATTGTGTGTTTCCACAGGCATGACTGGGAAATCCTCCACTCTTGGGATATGCGTGAATCCTAGGGTTGCCCAAACAACAATGTCATCGTTTCTGACAGGCTCCTTGGCCTTGACCCATTCACCAATACCCGTGTCAGCCTGTGACTGGTTAGTGAACTCACCGGCAGCAAAAAGTTGATGGTCATGGTACTTCGTGACCCAGAGTTGTTGCGTGGCATATTGTGCTCTCTTGCTATTCATGGAGTCTGCATCTGCCAAGAGCATCTGCTTAGCAGGCATCATGATCTTGTACCCCACTGGACCCTTACTGATTGGGTTGACCTTGTTCTCATTGACAATCTTGTATGTTCTGTTGGTGAATGGAGATTGCTCGACGTACCCGGCCTGATCCACAAAGCTTTTCTTAGTGATGAATCCGATTCCGTAAGGATTCAACTTGGAAAGTGGCATCTTCTCAGTATCCTCATACACGACAGAATTCTTGTGGCCATCAACAGCCGGGTCGATTCTGAACGACAAGATATGCTGATGGTACGCTGCCATCACGTTTGGTCCAACCACGGTACCCCATGGAACCGTCACATCCTCATCGATTGGCATGGTAGACAAAATACCAGTGGCTCTCACCTCAATGTCTACGATACCATCGTTGGTGAACTTGAAGTTCAAAATGTACTCGTAGTTGGCAACAGTGGCGATAGTTTGCACCACAAACTCCCGCTTTCTGGCAACAACAGCATTCTCGGTTCTGTAGTTGAGATGCTTGTACAAGATACCCGCGTCTTGCTCATGCATGCAGATAGTGTTGGGTAAGACCTTTGGTTCGCCCGCAGAATCAATAAGTCTACCGTCCATGTACTGAATGGTTCCGAGACAGTCACATCCGAGCTTCAATGGGTTAGCATTGATACCAAACCCACAATCGCCCAAGTCAAAAGCCTGCTTTCTATGGTATGGTGCTCTTGGGTCTCCGTATGGCACAGTCATCTCAGACAACGAGATTCTGTAGAATACTTGTCTGCCCTTGAACCAACCATCATAAATTGCAACGCCTTCTCTAGCAGTTGCGGCAACACGAAACTCCCAACCAAGCCATTTGACCTTGGATCCCTCTGTCGTGAAAGAAGCGCCTTCCGGCTGTTGGACTAACAATGGCTTTGGTTCTCTCATAATCGTTTCACCATTCAACTCTGGGTGATACTCGACACCGGCAACCTGTTGCCATGGAAGCGTTGGGGTGGTTGTCTCGTCGAATCCACCTGGCAAGTAGTCCATTCTGATGAATTTCTTTGTCTGGGCCTCGAACACAGGAGAGAACTTCAAGGGCAAGGAGTAATGGTTGGATTCTGAGTGCCCATTGTTGGCCAATACATACATGAAGAATTGGACCAAAGGTCTCTTCTCGTTTGGATCGTCGGTGGCATATATCCAGGGGTCGTTCCTGATGCCGAAACCAGCCGGCAACTTCAACTTCTCGATCTCAGCCAATACAATGGGGTGGTTGTTGCATGTTTCTTCCCAGTCCATGACGTCCTCGGGTAAAAATGGGCCAACAGTACCAACAGGCAATTCAGTTTTCGTCACAACGTGTCCAACTGATACGTTGACAAGCGCCTTGTTGAAGGTCAAAGTGTTGGTGTAGTAGTAGCAGTAGTAAATCCTCGAGATTTGAGGAAGTGGGCTTCCAAACCTCTCGGCCTCCAAGTACTTGAGCATGTCCTTTTTTGGAGGGTCCAATCTATCGATTTGGACAAAGTGGACGTTGGCAGATGCGGGATAAGCATCCTTGACCAACTTGGATGCCAATCTGATTTCAGCATCAGTGGCAGAGTCAAAAGGGTGAACCATTGTTATTTGCGATTTGGTTGTGAGCAGTATCTGAGAAAAAAGGTAATTGTTTTGGTGTCTGTGGATAAGCACGAAGCTTTTTATACAATGTACCAAGCTATCACAAGGTTATGTACCTTCCTATTTGGGATGGTGCAACCGATATCGCGATGAGTCCCAATGGAGTCGCGATCACGACTCTGACGAAGTACGTGCATGGGATGGGGTTGAAAGCATTGGGCATTGCAGAGACCCCTTAGGAATTGTGGAAAACCACGGGAGCTGAATCGATAGATCATCGGGGATATAGAAAATGTTTGTGTTTTTGTGGCCATCGAAGTGTTCACATGGCTTTTTCACAGGCCTTGCTTTTTCATGATGTGTATTTTTGGCTCCTTGACGATTGTAATTATTTTTCACGATCCGCTGACCGGAGGCCAAATTGATAAGAAATCAAACGAGGCTTTCAGCGTTGACATCTTTATCAGTGATTTGGGTGGCCGCGCACCCTGGACATTGAAAGATTGGGCGTATCGAGTATAGCCTTTGGGATAGCAGGGAAAAAATGGCCCAACGAGGCAGCTCGAGCAGGCGAGCTTACTGATTTTGATTGTGAGCCGGCAGTGTATTAAGCGACTGACCTAAATCTGTTACTTTTGAAGATTTCATTTCTTGAACCTTCCTCCTTTTTTCAAACCATTCACATGCCTTTTTTGTTATCTTGGGTCGGGCGCAGGTTCGTTATGCGAGATTGACTTTCTAATAAAGTCCCTATTGTCCTACGGTCTTTCAATGGCCTGCTCGTTGGTGCTTTAATTTCCTGATCTCTAAGATGCTTGAAATAGCTAGCACTTTTCGCATGCCAGAATTAGCAAATACATCAATAAACATGTCATGTTCTTTAGTTGCAAAATCACGTGACTTGCCATGAGGATGGTGAATCATTAGGCGGGCACTAAAAGATAGCCAAGTTGAATAGTGAGTCCCAAACAAAAGAGTGGAAAATCGACGCACAGGTCTTCGATACACTTCATAACTATGCAGCATAGTCCATATTTTCACACCTGATATGTAAACATACCCTTTGCTCGGGAATTAAGCGAAAAATGCCGGTTGAGGCTATGACGGCAATGTGTCTTCCAAACGCTTGGATGAGGTGCAGTATGTCGACTCACCTATTTGCGCAAAATGAACCTGACACATGCAGTGGCCCTCTCTACTAATTTCGAAAAAGTACAGCTTTTTTTTGAAATTGTATCTATAGTTTCGTATGATGCGGAAGAGGTAATCTTGATTAACTGAGAACTTCTACCTGCAGCCCATGGTTAAGATGGACAGTGCACGACACTATGAAAAAATAGCTGCCCATGTTTTTTTTTTCACAGCCGATGCTATCATTAAAACATTGCACAAAGAGTTCTCAGAGAGCCCGGCTTTTCAAGTCGCCACATACGGATGATCCAAGGTAGTGAGGCTATGGGCTATTTGGACTAAAAAGGAAGGTTAGTCCGCGAGGGAATAGACCCGTACACCAGATCCAGAGTCACCCGAAGCGACGCTGCGCGCCGGCCTTCATGTGCTGGCTAATACTTTAGATGTTCTTGGAGCACGTTGATTTTCCGGTAAGCATCAACCGTTTTTTCCTGATATCTTCTTTTTTATTTCCTTAAAAGCAAGTATAGCTCCAGAAGGTGGCGGCCACAGCCGCGCCAAATTTCTGGTTCTTTTCTTGATTTGCTTGTTTTTGTTTTTGTATGTTTGTTTGTTTGTTTTCTACCCCGCCCAGCCTGCACTACTGGAAGTCACGCAATATATCTGAAAGGTATAGGATTCAACATGGCGGCCTTGCACAGCAAAGCCAGCCTCTACAAGGGGTAACTAATAGTACTAAAATACACTCGATCAACGAAACAACATCACTCTTCTTTCTCTTTTCTCCTTCGATTTCTCCCTTGTCTATCTCTATTTGGCTGACGCAGGCGAGCCCACTTTCACTTTCGTATGTGGGTTCACGATTTCAATAACCTTTTTTTGCCGGGGAGTTTGGACGCGAGCATCTTGCTGGCTCGCAGGCTGCACAGCAGTGTTTTCTGCAGCAAAGTTTGTGGGTGAAAAGACCAGTGCTGTATGGGGATTGAACTTCTTAAACGTAGGGCTGTTTCCAGCGTATTCGGGGATTTCCGGGCAGAATTCAAGGTCGTCCTCGACATCAAACAGTTTAGATAAGTAATAACGCAACCGTGGGTTATGCAACAGGTAGCTAGACGTGATAGATGAGGTAGTGGACGATGACAGAGACGATAAGGTGGATCCGCCATTTCCCGAAACGTACGGCATGTTGTGGTACATCAGAGACGTGTTCATTTGGCTCTCCGTTTGAGGGGGCGAATAGTGCGAGTAGCTGCCGTTATAGGCGTATGGGTTTGCCATGTTTTCGGTCACTTGTGGGGAGTTCACTGATTCTGTATGGCTCCTTGGAGTTCTAATGGGACGGTGCTTGGTGAGAAATTCGGTCACGTGTTTATGGCGATTGTCTCAGGCGCAAGGGATGGATAGTTTTTGGCACTCTGATATTCTCAGTAGGGGTTCATGTGTAGTGATGGTAAGCAATAGGGTTTGGTGCTCTACGAGAGAAAAGATGGTATCTATCACCGATAGGCTCGGGGGAGGTCGCCTGTGCATGATCTTCGGCGTGCATACAGGGTCACGTTCTATGCTCTATTTTAATTCCTTTTTCTTGTGCGGATGATTTCTTTTGCCACCGCATGCGTCTGCAACGACCAGCACGGAAGCCACTTTCAAAAACATCGGTGCATTAAGTATCTTATGCGGCCGAGCGACATTTGGCGGAATTAAACACAATCAGGTATGTGCTTGTGCAAGTATTTTGAATTGGGGGAGCCTGGCCTATCGCGCCTCGCCCGCTTGGGTTTCGTGACCCCCAACGAGAAGATATGTGACCAGTCACGTGACTGGGGTACGCTTGGGGAGGGAAACGAAATTTCGATTGGGGATGGAGATCTACAGAGCAGATATTTTCGAATGAGTAGGACTGAGTAAGACTGAGTAGGAATGAGGAGGATTGAAGAGGATATGGAAGAATGAGGATGGATTATTCGATTTAGGGTGGGTGGGTTTTTGATTGAGCTCGAATAAGTCCTTTGTGTTTCTCAGCTCACAATCCGCATTAGGCCATCAGGTTTTGCATTGTCAGCACAACACATTGGACGATGTGATCCAAAACTGATTTTCTATTCTTGTTCCATCGAATTCCATTCCATATCGATTCCAGCAAGAGTGTATTCGGGCACCAGTCTACCTACCAAAGACAGAAACTACCCAAAAACTCTTCACCTCTTATGCATTATTATTGAGGCATTTGGTGCCGTACTTTCAGATATCTTTTCTCTGGGCCCGTTCTTTTGAATGCATGTTTACAAAAGCTGCTGGCGTAGATCACAACTAGATTCTATTTCCCTTCTGCTAAATTTTTCAACCTTATCATTATAAGGACTAATTATCTACTTCACCTACTTTGGACTGAGATTGTTGCTGAGCTACATTAAGGGCACAATTCTGCTGAAATGAGAATATTTGTATAAGAACTATAGACCGGAGCTGCCCAGTAATCTCCGCTCAAAATCTTATAACCCTTACTTTATTGATATAGGACACCTTGCAATTTGCGTCACCCAAACTTCTTTCTCATAGTCTCGTCTCATGCTCACATGAGGTCTGTGGATTTCGAATCAAAAATCCTGCCATACCTATTGTCTTGTCAAAGATTATATTTGTTACCTATATTTTAAATGAAACTATTTTTGTATCGCAGAGGATGCGCAGGATTCATTGCGAAGTAAGAATTAAACATGCTCAGCATGGTCGATGGCGCTCTTCTCGGTTTCCAACTTTCTATTCTGAAGACCAGGCGCTTCATCACCAAAGACTTGTGCTACCTCCTCTAAAGTGTAACCAGAAGTCTCGGGGAATGTGAAAAATACAACCGTGAGCTCAACAAAAAGAATGCAACAGTACACAATATAGTACTTCCATTCGATGGCATCCATAGCAATAGGGTTGACGTAACCATTGTAAACTTGTGTGATGAACTGGGACATCAGAAACACGTTCAATCCTTTGGCTCTGTGAGAGTATGGCAAAACTTCGGTGATGTACAAGAAGGGCAAGCCGTTCACACCAACATTGTAGAAGAAGTAGTAAAAGAAAATCATAGCCAACACTCCATTTGCCAATCCGGTGTCCTCAAAATTTCTCTGCTCATTGAGTGCAGACAAGATAGTCCAAATCGTGTAGCAGACCAACATTCCTGAGAAACATGTCAAGAATAACGTTCTTCTCTTGAACATACGGCAGACACTCATCAAGGCCACACAGATTACAAAATTGTAAATCATCAAGGATCCGTTGATCTCGAGTTGCTTCTTAGTCTCAGTGATTCCAATAGAGTCCAACACCTTAGCCAAGTAGTAGGAGACCAAACCGTTACCAGAAAGCTGCATTGCCACACCGACAGCCACACACAAAAAACCTCTCTTCCTGAAGTTCTTCTTCGTGATGAAGTCAAGATACGACGATGACATGGTTTTGTCCTTCTCTAAAGCACTCTCAATTTCATGAAGTTCAAAGTCCACTAAAGCAATGTCTCGAGCATCTGTTGAATTTCCAGTGTGAAACTTTGACAATACAGCTCGTGCTTGATCAATCTTTCCTCTGGCGACGAGGTATCTGGGAGATTCAGGCACAAACCAAAGCATGCAAACCTGAAAAAAGGGTAAAGCTGCTTGAAGATATGATGGGATGGCCCATGAAGCCTTGCTTTGAATATCTCTAGTTCCGTAGGTGACCCAAGAAGCGATAATGGCACCCAAGTACCAGCACACATTGTAAGCAAAAGTAGACGTTTCTCTATGGGTTGGATATGCGATTTCGGAAATCAAAGTTGGCGAGGGGATTGTTGCCATCATGGCACCGAAACCCAAGACAATTCTAGCCCCCAAAAAAAAACCATAGCTGTTGGACAAACCTTGCAAGACGGCGCCGACAATAGTCAAAGTAGAGCCAAAAAAGATCACGGGTCTTCTTCCAAAGCGGTCACAAAAAAAAGAAGCAAATGGAACAGCTGCAATATTACCGAACAAGACACCGTTTGTCAAAGCACCTAATCTCTGGCCCAGGGGATAACCCAAATCTTCTTCCCAAATATCCAAAGACTGCAAGCCATTCAACATCGAGCTATCATAGCCGTTGTTTGTGGAAGTAAGCGTGATGATGAAAACACACCATGTCAAGTAGCGCAAGTGAGCTACTCTGTACCAGGGCCGCTCTTCGGCGATGTAGTCGTTTACAGTGACTTGAGGTGCCTCTGAAGCAAAGAGCTCAGACTCCTTTTTTTCGATTGATTCGTTGGTACTCAGCATGCCCAATACTTCCGTACACTATACTATTAAATATAAATTTAATTTTGTTTTGATGAAAAAATATATTTGACTCGGAATTCGCTACGCTCTTATAAGTTTTGAGTTACGTCGCCACGAAATCGATTTGCAGACTGCGGCCAGTAAAAAAACGCAAGGAGTGCACCAAAATACAGGCTGATTCAAATACAAATGTGGAGACATGCACAAGCCCGACTTCAACGGAGAATTCTGCTGGCCACCTAGCAAATGAACGCCCCAGGTTTAAGTTGCGTCTGCGGCCCGGCACATTTGCTTCAGTCATCGTCGACAAAGGTGACTTTTCTTTATATACACGCGCCACGCATGCCCGCATTTGGAAATGTTCCCGGGGTCAATCCGAGAATCTTAGTTCAACCTAGATACTACTGCTACAAATTAAGCCCAGCGTCTTTTAGCAGTCCAAACTTTGAATTTCAGATGTATGATGAAATGTGGAATGGGCATGTATAGCTGTAATTTTCACGTTTTTATTTGAAACAGAGAAAAGTGACCTCACGCCATTCGCGAACCGGTTCGTAAATACCTTCAAAGGCTCGAGAAATGAGGTACGCCTTAAACTGCGCGTATTATTCGTAAGTGAATCTGATCTTAGTTATACTTGACGCGTAATGGAGTGGCGAGACTCCTTATAATCCACGGAATATAGAAAAGTCACGACAATACTGGCGAGATCACATGCAAGACTACTCCACAAAGCTTTCGTATATGTGGAGGAAAAAATCATAGACTTGATCTATGCTCCGGGACGAAAGTATAGATCTAGTCCAGCGAGTCTCGAAATTGAAAAAGAGGGACTAAAATTGGAAGTTTTTTTATGGCAAGTGCTCGTAAACACTGATATGTACAGTGACTAGCTTCCTACTTTGGACTTAGTGATATTTGCGTGATTACCAGAATCAACAATACTACTGAAATTGATTGACCAGCCTGGATAATAGTATATTGAACTCCACCCGATATAAATAATTGTTAGAAATATCACCGAGAGCATCACGGAGTCAACAAGCATGAACACATAAAACTCAGTGTTTCAATGTTGGTGGTATGGCAGCACATGTCGTGTCCTTGGGTAGCAGAAAGATGTACAGTCCAATACAATGAATTTTCTGTTGGCCACTAACAAATCAACTGAGTTCCGAGAGAAAGTGAGCCTTTTCACTGATTGTGATGTCAATGAGCAATGAACAGGCTCACCCCCATACCCCTATTTTGCAACTTTCTGAAAATCTTTTGGATTTTTATTCAGCATGCCAAATCAATGCACCGGAATTAATTCACAAGTCGGGATTCCGCCCGCCAAAGCCAGCGTGCGGCAGTATGTGCCGCACATGCAATCGCGAAATCTAGTCGGACTTCGCCAACCTCGCTAACAGAAATCGAGTTCGCGAGGCTCCGGATACATAACCCGATTTGGCAGTTTTGCGCACAATGTATGTGGGGCAAACCTTCTACTTGGGGAAGTCATTCACCTACCCCACCAAGTCACTCCACATGTGCCAAAGTCACAGATTAACTAAGTGCTAACTTTTTTTCCAAGAAATTTTCACCATGCCAAAACAGCTGTCATCAATTCATACAGGTACACCAGGAAAATGGAGCTGTGTTGCAAACGTAGATTGACAGGCCATTTTGTTGAAAGCCACAGCTGCGGGAGACTACTCTGATATGGTTGCTTTAATAACATGGTAGGCCATGAGACTGAGTATAAATTAAATTTGGAGAGCATGTTGGAATAGCCAAAAACAATCTCTATTTTGTTTTGTTCTGCGAGTTATTCTGGACCGCTAGCAATGCCAAGTTTTGCAGAAAAGTTGAACTACCATTTCCTAATAAATTCTTCGAAGAACAGTCACTTTAATGACAGTGGCAACATAAACTAAATGTTTCTTTAGTTCTTTGAACTCGCGGCCCCGATCGTGGACTCCTTTGCTCATCATGAAAACCCCACCTCGGAACATCTCTAAATTATATCAGGAGGCCACAATCAAGACTGAACCCCGACTGGAGCCCCAAGTCGCTTTTATCAGGTGTTGTGAGACACTGGAATCAGAAATATAGGCTGTTGCAGGATGCTTTTGGGTCCCAAACATTCAAATGTTGGCAAACCATAACAACATGAAGCCATATTCCATACAGCCATGTTGCATAGTTCTTCTTTTACATAAAACCAATAGGCAAATATACCAAGACCTATCAAATTTTGCTAGCTGCCAGATCTACACAAGGCTTAGATCAAACTACAAAAAGCTTGAGAACAAGAGCCGTTGATGCCAGACTTATCATTTCTGGAAAAAGGTACACACGCTGCTAGGTTCTAGCAATTCTCTATCTCCCTAACCCAAAAGCGTGAAATAGGGCTTGTGGTCACCAAGGAATAAATTCATCAACAGAGATTACGCCTGAACATACTAAGAAAAGATTCTATGGCGAGAGAATTGACCACATGGAAGAGCAGCTGATGCGAATGTGGATCCCAAATTTGTCTCCTTAATTTATGTTCTTTTTTTTTTATAAAAAAACTCCGTGAGTCATTAATTTATAACCACCTAGAGATCCGACTTTGCTCACTGAAAGATTAGATGGAAACTAATGATTCCTCGGTTTCAAAACCTCGAACTCTTGGTTTATCAGGCCGCGGAAAGACAAGACGGACCACATCAAATGACACTGAAATGTCTTAAAAAGGCGGCTCGACAATATCAATCCAAAACAACATAAACTTTAAGTAGGACTCTTTCAAGTTAGTCTCTGGACAAATGATACAGGACCTAAACCAGCACCTGGGCACAAAGGGGGTTTATTTGGCGTGTTGCAAAAGAACTGTTGATACCGTATACATGGGAGTATTTCGGCTTGTGTTCGAGTTATCGGTTTACACGCTAAATGAGAACGACCAGTTCCAAGTTTGAGGAGTGCATCAGCTCTAAAACACCAAACGGAGTCTCGAGACAGTAATATTCTGTGCACACCATCGAATGACTATTTTTTTTAACAAGTTTTGTACAACGATGCCGGCGGAGAAGCACAACAAACCCAACAAAACCGAGGATGCCAGCCCCGTAGCTACATCTAAATCATGCTACATTCTTATTTTGAAAGATGGTTGCTATACACGCCGTTTTGCGTCATGTCGCGAAACCGAGGGTCATGGGGTGGAAATACTTCCGTATTGGGCAAGAGGTGTTGCTCGAGGCCATGTGCATGCCACCCCACTTTGCGCGCGTCAATCTGCTGCAAGACCTGCATGAAAAGACGCCGTGCGTCTCGTATTGCGTGTCTGCAGGGACAGCTTCCTCATCTGGCAGCGAACGCGGTGATCCCCGCAAAACACACTATGATGCTCCTGCAAAAAAAAAGAAAACCCAAGCAGACTCCAGCACCAGATGAAAGTGTGTGAGATCCCGGGAAGCTCTTGAAAAAACCAACATCAAAGGTACTAGAACTCGGACATGCCGTTGTTTTCTCTTTTTTCATCTACCATTCAATTGCACCACGGCCGTCCCCTAATTGAATGCTAAGCACTTGCTTCAAGAACTCACTCTAGGCCATGATGAAAAGCTGCGCCTGTATCTTGGGCCCTACATGCAACATTGCCCGGAGCCCATTGGGCGGCCGTGTATTTGAGTCGTGTTCCGAAGATCCTTATTTGTCAGGGCACGTTTCTTCTACGGTGGTGAATGGAACCAAAAACACGATATTGTGGCGTTCCTTAGGCACTTTGTGTGCAACGAACAGGAAGAAGAGAGAAAGTGAGTTGGCTCCATCCTCACCGAGAGAGCATTTTATCGAGGTCTATATTTATTATCCTTCCTATTTTTAAATCTACATTATATTTTTATCTTTTTGTATTTATGTTCGGCTTATTTTACTAATTAATTTTAATGTTGATTATACATGATTTATTTAAACAATCATATATATAAACCATAAATAACGCCAATAATAAGACAGCTTGACTAAATAAATATATATCTTATTTTAAGTAAAACGCAATACCTAAAAGGGTTAATCATTAAGTACAAAAAAAAATACTTAAAAGATATACTTATACTTTAATGGATACTTCAAAATAAATATTTGTAATAACCTCTAGATGATACGTTATAAAAAATATAAGCAAATACCTTATTGCGAGTTATAATAATATAGCGTTAAGGTGAATAAAAGTAAAAACTAGATTAGTTCAGATGTAGGTAATAGAGAAATCTAGCAATAGAACTGAAATCTATTTGAAGCCTTTTCAGCTTGCAGTGAGAGACTCGAACCCCAAGTCTATAATGACCGCGTACAATCGGGTTAACGGCGAGCACTTATCGCAGTCCAAGAAGCTACTCCAGAAGGTCTTGAGACAGGACTGGAAGTGGAATGGCATGGTGATGTCCAACTGGTACGGCGTGTACTCCATGAAAGAGTCAACTGACGCCGGGCTTTACTTGGAAATGCCGGGCCCCACCCGCTTCAGGGAGCTTGTGCAAACCTCCCACGTGGTGGTGTGGAATGAAATCCACATGGAAATCATTGACGGCAACGTGCGGCACGTGCTCCAGTTTGTCAACGACTGCCTCGGGGCCAAAATTTCCAAGGCCCAGGCGGAGTCTAAAAGTACAGACCCGGCCGTCAGCCAGCTTTTGATAAACAACGCTGGCGAGTCCATTGTGCTGTTGGAGAACGAGGACAACATCCTCCCTTTGAGCGCCGAAAAGACCCCGGGAAACGAGGCCATTGCTTTGCTTGGTCCCAACTTCAAGGCAAAGAGAAACTCCACCGGGGGCCCTGCTTGCTTTTCTGCTCGCTACACAATCACGCCAACAAAGTCCAAGAAAAGACCGGGGAAAATGCGCTTGTGCTCGACTATGTGCTCGGGGCCTTTTTGGAGAAGATCTTGCCGGACATTGGCTTGGACATGCAGACCTTAGACGGCCAAAAGGGAGTGAATGCCACATTCCATGTAAATGCCCCGGCGCACAACACAGGGGCTTGATCGAAGAAAGAAGCGTCGCCACCACCAAGATCGTTTTGTCCGAGTACCGCACCGAGAAGTTGCCTGCCGGTCAGCAATTGTTCTACGTTGACTTTGAGGGCTACTACATTCCCGAGGAAACTGTAGAGTACCAATTTGGCTGCTCGTGTTTGGGCACTGAGCAGATGTTCTTGGACGGCGAGCTCATTGTTGACAACAAGACCTCAAAGGTCAAGGGAGACGCGTTTGTCATGGGGATGGGCACCCGGAAGAGCGCACAGAAATTAAGTTGGGAAGAGGCAGGAAGTACCGGTTGAAAGTTGAGTTTGGGACTAGCCCCACGTGCAAGCTCACCACCGAGTACCAGGAGGTGGCACGCGTGTGTTTTGGAACCGAGGCCAAGTCCACAGGGCAGGCAGCTTTGGACGAGGCAGGGACGGTCCCAAAAAGGCAGACAAGGTGGTATTGGTGACAGGCTTGTCAAAGGAACACGAGTCGGAAGGGTTCGACAGACCGAGTATGGATATTCCGGGCTAGACAGACAAGTTGATACCCAAGGTTGTGCGGGTCAACCCCAGCGGAAAGTTGTCCATGACCTTTCCTAATATATTGGAAGACAAACCTCGTACTGGAACTTCGGCTCCACCCAGGGCCACGTACTTTAAGGCGAGGATGTGTTTGTGGGCTACAGATACTACGAGAAAATCGGAACGCATCCTTCGTACGCGTTTGGCCACGGCTTTTCCTACACCACTTTTGAGTTGGGCGTCCCCGACATTATTCTGGGGGAAGACGACGTGCGTGTTTCTGTCAAGGTCACCAACACAGGCAAGGTGGCTGGAGATGAGGTGGTTCACTTCTACGTGGAACTTACTAGCCCCAATATTATCCGCCCCAAGAAAGAGCTTAAGGATTTTGCTAAATCCAAGTGGGCACTGGGCGAGAGCAAGGTGGTGTCGGTGAAGCTTCCAACGCTTGATGTCACTTCATACTGGAACAGCTACAAGAACAAAGGGCACCTACAAAGTGATTGTGGGTACGTCTTCCAACAAGATCACCGGGTGCGCCGAGTTCCAAACCAGCGCTAACACATGGTGGACCGGTGTCTAAAGACACTATGGGTGTATGGATCATGGCTTTGAAGAGTCCCAAATATAATAGGACTCCATGCATGTAACGTGAATACACATCAGTCTGAACAGCCCTGTACCCTGACACTGTCGGATTACTGGGACTGGGACGTGTCTTGAGATGAAAGTAGGTCTAAGACCTACAACGTTGTTTGATCCTCCATTTCGGCTTTTCAAAGACTCGAAGATGTTTCAAGAGAATATAGCAAGACATGAAATGACAAAGAAAAACAGGTCATACTCCGTACACGGAGCATGCTACAACTAACTTCTATGGTCTCTGCCGCTTCAACTGGTATTGTTTGTCACCGACTTTTCATGATTCGCAGATTTAATTTCATGTTGGAATCTGAAGGCAAATAAATTATTCGCAAGTGCCAAAACTCACCTGGTGTCAAGGTTTCCGGAAAAACCTGTTTTTGCACTTGTAGTTTCACAGAAAAAAAATTTCTTAGTAAAATAAACAAGAAAGTGGCCCCATGTTAAAAGATATTACATACCTGAGACCTTATCTGATGAGGATCTGCAGATGTGGGTAGACAGGCAATCTCTTTATGCATATCGAACATACTTCGTTCCTCTGAGAAAAAAAAAGGGCAATGTTGGAAAGAATGAAGTAAATCTCGAATTTACTAATACGCTTTAAATGTCTGTTGTAGTAATTGTTGTGAATTTGAAACATGAACTTCCAGGCTCTGGGATGCAGGGATTTGCATTGAAAATGTAATTCGGACCGAAATACTTGGAAACCCTTTCGTGCTCAGCGAGTACCCCGCGTCAAGCGACCAAATACTTATGCAAACACGCGGACAAGATATAAGTACAGCTATTCGTTTTTAGTGTTGATAATTGGTGCTACGGGAGCCAGGGTCTTTTTCTATCAAGACCATTTTTTTCGGGCAAAAGTACAACCTGTTTCAAGATTCTGTTCCCCGAGGTTACATGCTGCTTTTACCACAGCCAAAAACCAGTATCCCGTTGAAAGAATATTCGATGTCTCCTAGAATGAAGATTTGAATCAGGGGTCCAAATCAAACCTACTATGCGTGGTTGCGCTCAGCTGCCTCAATTGTCCATTGTCGCGGCCGAACTAGGCAACGGTTCCATGTCGCAATTTGCACCCAAGTCCCAAAAGGGAAACATGATCTCATCGTGAAAGTATCTAACGTGAGCAAGCCCCACTACTTATTAAGCGAAGCTGCCGAAATTACTGACCCATAATCTCCCAAAGTCATACAAACATATCTACTGACTGAGACTGTTCCTGTCGTCTTTCTCAGAAAGTGCCAAGCAAGCAACCACATAGAAATCGACCCAAAGTCCGGGCATTCCTCCTTGATGCCATCATCCATACTAGGCTACAAGTCTATTGCCCCGCATTTAAATCTTCCAGACTCACATACTCACCGCAAATATGAATTGGTCCATATGCCCTCGGGTCTCCGGTGCCTACTAATCAATGATAGCTCTTCGCACATGGTATCTGTTTCCATGACCGTTGGATGCGGCTCATTCCAAGACCCAGATGAAATCCATGGCTTGGCTCATTTATGTGAGCATTTAATTGTTCTGGGAGGGCCACAAACTCGACTCCGGCACGTGGTATCCAATTCTGGCGGATCCATGAACGCATATACTGGCAGCGACCAGACATCGTTCGCTTTCGAAATCTCGTCTTATGCGGAAGACAGTCTGAATGTGTTTATCATGGACTCGATGCTTCCGGTGTTTGCATCGTACTTTTCTAAACTCAAGTTTACATCTGCTTCCATAGGCTCAGAATCTCGAGCTGTGCATGAGGAGCACATGCTCAATACATCGAACATCGAGAAGATCTTGTGGCACGGGCTAAGGCTTCTCACGAGAGACTCGCATCCTTTCAGTAGGTTTGCTACAGGCAATTTGGCTACGCTATCCGAGGCACCCACAAAGCTTCTCAAGGCCAAATTGGTCTCCTATCACGCGCACAACTTCCGGCCAGAAAATATGGCCTTGGTGATCAAGGGTCCGCAATCCACCAACCATCTCAAAAAAGTAGTTGCGCATCATTTCTCAGGCAAGAAAGAGATGCCCAGCATACTGAGCTCCTCAGGTCTCACGAATCCTTCGAAAAACGCATGTGTATTTGACGAGATGGCTGAAAACATCCTATTCATCAAAAGCGAGGTGTCTCCACGTATAAGGCTTTGCTTTCCGTTTTGTGAAGATGACGGTCCATTTGTGAGCACCACCCAGACCTTGCTATGTAATATCATAGGGAACGAGTCTGTGGACTCGCTCTGTTATCAACTCAAGAAAACAACTCAGCTAGCGGAAAACGTGTTTGTGCACACGCAGGAGATTTGCAAGGAGAGTAGCGTGCTTCTCATTGATATTGAGGCTACCAACCAAGGCATGCGGCGGATCCAGGTGGTTTTGGGGGTGGTGCTTCTGTTTCTTGAGAACACGCTTGTGGGAATTGCCGACTCGGAGTTGGAATCGATCATAGATGAGTATCAGATTGTAGACCAGGTGCAATTCAAAAGCAAAAAGATCCCTGCTTCGCTGCTCGAGGAAGTTGTCGCGTACTCCGAGTACCTTCAAAGAAACACCGAAAACATCCAAGGCATCGTGAAAGGAGAAGCAGGCGGAAACAAAACCGGTTCTTTGGAAATGAAGCAGACTATTCGGAACCGTCTATGTCGAAATCGGCTTCTTGTACAGATTTTGAGCCCCTCGTTTCTGCCCGTGAATCAGTTTGAAGGCCCCACGCCCGTTTTCTGTGAAGACAAGTACTTTGGCTTCGAGTACACGAAGTTGAGGTACGACTTTTCAGGCTTGCCGGAACCATCGCTCCCTGCAATAAAGGTTCCTCGGCCTATTGGAAAGTTGGCTCAGAAAGTATCGTTCTTGGTAGAGGCCAAAACGCAGAGCCCCGCCACCAAGTACAGGGACTTGGAAACGGCAAGGGAGCAGCCGGTGCTTTGGGCAGGCGAGGATTCCTTGCAGATCTGGTCTCACCATTTGGCTGATAGCAGAGACATAGAAATCAGTGCACACGTCAAGTTGAGTCTGGTGGCTGCCGATGCCGAGAGCCTCGTAGGGGTGGAGATCATGGCGTCGATTGTGGGCGAAAAATTGCAGTTCATTTTGTACAATCTTGAGTCGCTCGGCTGCTCGTGGGCCGTGCACGTGAATGTGAATGGCGAGCCTTCGTTGATGCTCACCGCAGGCGGGCCCAGCACGCTTGTCCACGAAGTTTTGTCGACGATGGTGGAAGAGCTTGTCACGTGCCTCGGGTCCATGCACCAATGCTCATACCAGCAGCTCAAAAGAGCACGTGTTCTTCTCCGTAGGACGTACGAGGAGTATGTGAATGCGACGGGCGTAAAGCTTGTCTTTGTTATGGCAAGCGTGCTTTTCGACGAGGGCCTCGTTTTGCCAGCCCAGCGAATTAAGGCCTTGGAGCTCATTGATATCGAGTCTGTGGCTGCGCTTGGGCACTGTGTACTTGCGGGTCCGAGTTTCACATCCGTCCTTGTTTCTGGAAACGCAGGCGAGCCAGATCTCTCAAAAGTCCGGGATATCTGCGGCTTGGTCGGCGGGAACGGCGTTTCCAAACCCCTTTTCCATCCTGAATCAAGCTTCTTGCTCCCAAGAGGAGAGTGCTGCACACTCCAAGTGGCTGGTCCCTCTGGAGACCCATTGGCTGTGGTGTACTACTATATCCAGATGGGTGAAAGAAGCAGTCTCACGACCTACGTCTTGGCCAAGTTGGTGGAGCTGGTGATTTCTGCCTTTGCGTTCGAGGACTTGCGGATGAAACGGAATTTGGCCTATGGGATATTCACGGGCATGCGTATGTTCAAAAAGACATTCGGCATCCACATCACCGTTCCCACCGCCAGCCACAGTTGCAGCTTTTTGGTGGAGCAGATTGAAGAATTTCTCACAACTTTAGAGCAAATAATAGACAGCTTTTCGGAGCAGCAATATGCCCGGCTCGTCCAAGATTTAGCAAAAAGCACCGATGAGCTGGCCGGCGACGATACTGCCACCACCAATTTGTTTTCGAGTCTCCAGCCTGTCAACGGGTCCAGTGGCCAGGGAAATGAAGATGAGCACACAATCCACTGGAACAACTTGGAGCAGATTCTCAATAAAACATACAATTTTGGCGGAAAGGCATGCGAGGAGAGAATCGACCATGGCGTGCTAGCAAAAATCACGTTGCAGCAATTCCGCCACTTCTTCCGCCAAAAGGTCAGCGTGAGCTCACCACACCGATCCGTTGTGGCAATCAGCAAAGAAGCCGAGGAAATGCCGCGGCAGCAGAAAGTAAAAATGATAAGCAAAATCGTGCTTGAACGGCTCCAGGAGGCCAATCTCCATATTTCCGAGCAGTCGCTTCTCAAAGCGGTGGACTTGTGCCAGGACCTAGAAACCTTGCGGGATTTGGACCTCGAGAGCCACTTCACTGGACTTGGCCAGGCCGTGCGGTACCAGAAATTTAAAATGAAACTCAAGCTCGGGGGGCTTCTCAAGAAATTGGGCACAAAGCAAGTGAAGTCTCCTCGCCGTGGAAGCGCTGTACGAATCCAGACATATAGCTCTGTGGAGGAATTGCAGAAGAAATGTCAATCAGTGCATTAGTCAAATCTGGTGAAGAAAACTATCAGAAAAGACGGTGTGAACAAAGTCAATATTGATTTCGGTGAGCCTGCTGTCTGTATTGTAGCATGCCAGTAGTAAAGATGCTACTGAACAGAAAGCTGAATACTGCTCGCACGGACTTAGATATCAACAAAAGTCTTCTTTTTGAGTGCAAATCGTAAAATACAGCTACACATGGTCTCTTAGTGTCATATATATTTGTAATTGTCATTCTGGCGGATATGTTCTGTTAATTCGATTCTTGGCGTGATTCATCATTGATATATAAATAGTGACTAGATGCTCTCATCAAAATGAGGCCGGCACTTGATTTTCAGGGCAGTCTGCCACTATTTTTTTTGGGAGCTCGCGATTGCTAGCAGAGGGTACCAGTAAATATTACGTCAAAGCGCCCTCGAATTACAGTAAGTGGATGAAAGCCAGGAAACGTAAAGTACAACCGTGTATGTGGATTAGTTAAATTGAAATGTACTGATTATTCTTTTGATAAACGTATGCGATCGCTCCCGCAGAGATGATACCGAAAGAAATTGATATAAGCGAGGCCACGGAAAGTATGAAAGCTTAATTCTTGGGTCGTGCTATTGATGAGCCCCTTGGTATTCGGGTTTATCATGTTGTCGGAGGCTCGAGTACTTATCCTCTTTACTGGAACTCCTTAACATTTCTCAGTGAATTGTTGGAAGTTAGAAGCTGGGAAAAATTAAAAAGGAGCCAATGGATAGATACTACCTGATCCATATTTGCACTTTATCATCTTTTTCTCTTCTCTTGAGACGATGGCTTGTTTTAAAAGTAGTATATATTATTTGTGCTGACTGGTGTCTTAGTTTGTTAGTCGAGGTTTTCTTGAGTTTTAACAAGAAATATTACACGGCGCAAGATTAAAAACTGAACTCAATTCTTTTCATAAATTTTTTCCCAATGATTGTGATTTAGCACTATAAAAAATGACAAAGCCTCGAGTGTCTCAGATCGCTATGAAGTAATGGGATATTGTCGTATCGTATCATCTTTGAGTTTCTGGCTTGAAACTATTTTATTCTATCCTTGCCTCATAGACTATATCAAGTCAGCTTTTAGCCAAAAATAGCATTCACGGATTTCGTGCTGTTTGTCGGCCTCTAAATTACACATAAATCGTGTGGTAGACTGAATGTTTTTAATGTTCAGTCTTTCAGCACTATTCAGACAATCTTGGGATACTTTTTCAGAGCACCTAGAGATATAGTGAGAGCTGGAGAGTTGCTAAATGTGCTGTTCACCATCAGGACCACCGAGGAATACCGGGCTTTAGCACGGTGATAATTATCATTAAAAATCTCAGAGCTGTTCGATCAGTAAGTTTTCGCTGGTCTTCACATAGGGGCTTTCATCTAATGCTACTGGTTTTCTGGAAGTACTACTCTTAATCGAAAACAAAAACCATTACTTCATATTATAAGCTGCCTTTCTGATTGGATTCGATTCTGTTCCAGTTAAGACATTCATTACCCCGAAACAAGGTTTAAAGATTGAGATCTTTTGCACTTTTTATGAAGCAGCGTACTTGACAACATTCACGGATCTGAGGTTTAAAATTGCCGAAGATCATAACAAACAAGACTAAAAGAAACTTTTGCCTGAATCGAGATCGCTGGCAGGCTAAGGCCCCATAATTCTGACCAAGTTTGGGGGCTCAAAATATCATTTTATGTTTTTTTTTTCAGTACAGGCATAGTGCTTTGACTTGGGCTTGTTGAGACAAAGTCGAAGCTGAATTCAATTCCGCGTTTTAGTAACATGTATCCGAATATGGCCCACGCATGTTCATAATGTGAACTCTCTTTCTGTAGAGACAAGCTGTTGTGCCGTAGAAAAGCAAAAAAATGTATCTCTGAGAGTTTTTTAATGGAATTCAATGTTTAGGACATCTGAGAAATATTTTAAGGCTTTGCATATTCGAAGTTTACCTACTTACCAAAAGCGCGGGAGGATGCAGTAATGACAATAACTAAGTATTCCAGAACATAGTGCAGGTTTCGGAGCTCTTCAAGTAAGATCAATTGTTTCGTGTTCCTGCTGTACATGTCCCAATTTTTCTGTGCACAAAAAGGCTTTAACATTGCATCTGTCGATCATACAAGAGAGAGGAAGTTGACACTGTGGTTGGAAATTTCACTCCACCAAGAACTCAATTCTGTAGATACGAGTCTCAGCTTTTGATTGGAAAAAACAGGCACAGAAGTGCAACTGTATTGGAATTTGATAAGTGTTACAGATGAAATGTCGAGGTTTCTGAAGTTGAAAGTGGGGGCGACACTTTTAAGTTATATTCAATGACAGCCTAGCTACCGAGTGTTGGAGAAGAGAAGAGCTCAAAAAGCAAGAAAGCAAGAAAAGCTTAAAAGTAAGCGAGCTAGGGTCGTTGACGACAGTGATAAGTCAGATGACGAACAGGATGAGGATGAAGAATTTGATGTTTTCTTCGGCAACAGTCAATTTTCTGACGGATCCGAAATGATATCCAACTTGAAAACAATTAGGATCGGTTTTGATCAAAATACAAGAAAAGGAACTGCAAAAAGAAATGTCAAGGCGAATTTTCACAAAGATCGAAGCCAAGCAAAGAAAGCTTGATCTTTTAACGTCCGAAAAGAAAATAAGGGGAAAAGTGGAGCAGTTTTATGAGCCAAGCAGAAGGTGTCAAGATCAAGAATGCCGAGAAATTTTGAAAGAAAGCATTAAAGGAATAAGAGAAACAAAAACTCAAGAGTGAAATTGAATGGAGAGAAAGAAAGCAGCTTGTCAAAGACACGGTCTCCGCGCGCCAAAACAGGAGAGAAGCAAACTTGAAGGCAAGATGGGAGAATAAGGGAAAATGGAGCAAGGAGCAGCTGCTGAGGAAGCTCACTGGTGTTGTGTATAAAATTAAAGGCACTGGAGATGGTGGGAAGGTTTTGAAGGCAACGCCAAGTTTAAGAGCAAGCCGAATAATTAACATGTTATATAGTAATATAATGAAATGAAGGATAAAGACACAATCACACCAGCACAAAACAAAATTCAAGTACGGCCCACAAGCTAGGCAAAATTGAAGCTCCCATCACATGTACTATTGATTTTGATTCTTCGAATTACCCGATTTGAGGATGACCCTGTCACTGAATATATCCCTGACTATGCACGCCAAACAAAACAGCAACTTGCGGGTTTATAATCACCAGAAACGTGAAAAGACCGCCTGTTTGGGTCTCTTGACAAATTTCAAACGATATTGTTGACAAGGCTTAGAAAAGCGAAGAATACTAGAAACTGGTCATCTGTTCCCGCCAAAGCGTTGGACGATGCCGCGATTCGATAATGCAGTAATTCAAAGTGATCTCGTAGTTCAATCTAGTTTCGTAGTATTTGAACCAAGTTGTGATGGAAAGATTTGCATTGACAGGTGGGTCTCGTACATCTGTCTGGATATAGTTAGCATTGTTGCAGTCGAGTCTCGCATTTAGTCTTGCCGCATTAGAGTTCTATAGCTGCCTAGCAAGGTGCTCACAGGGTGTACCATGTATATATCCAACTGATCCTCCTTCAGTAGCATCAGACTCTTTCTAATATCTTGAACAAATTTGCATGGTCAACAAGAATGGTCTTTGTACCATTCAAAATCTCTGTCATGTACAAGTAGATTCCTCTACTTTTAATATGAGTGTATAGCTGTCCTCTTACTATTTCAAGATATGCGTGTAACAAATTGAAAATGGCTTTAAACACCCTTTCAAGTCTTTGGAAGGACGGTCTTTATCTCTTTTTTTAATGTATTAGGAACTCTGTGATCATAGAGATGGTAGCATTATTTGGCTGAAAAGTGGCATACTGATTCACGTCAGTTTCCACATTGATTCAATCCAGCGCTTCTTTTGAGGTGATGAAACGAGCAACCATTCACGCTTCGGACTGCTTTATCTGGATGAGAAAATTAGGAAGTTTTCTAACTGGTCCCAGACTAGCCTAGTTGCAAATTGATAAAAGTACTTGATTTCAATTGTTCATGCACGATCTTTTGCAGCACGATGATGGATCTGATTTCTCATCCATGGATGATGCTAGGATGGGCTTTGAAGGAATTTCTCAGAGCAAGTATCTAGCGCCGTAAATAGCCTAGTTCGAGGATTCTGACCCACCTGTTGTACCAGAACCACTTCGCTTTGTGGCGGTCCATACTTTTGTCTTACTTTTATTATACTACAGTAGGGTATTATTGATATTTCTTGTATTTATACACGTTGTATGATCCATATGTGTGTGAACTGATTATAGAATCTAAGAGCATTGCTCTTTGAAAGTTTGAGATCGTGAGTTAATTAGTGTCATAGAGTTCTATTTTCATATCGCAGCGGAGAATAATTTAATTACCTGAGGGTATGAAAAACAATCGAGTCCGACGATTCAGGCCGCGGTTGTGTCTCTTATTCAGTCGTTTTATATTACTTAGTTGCCGCAGTTTGGCCTCTTCTTCAGTCGTTTTATATTACTTAGTTGCCGCAGTTTGGCCTCTTCTTCAGTCTTTTTATATTACTTAGTTGCCGCAGTTTGGCCTCTCATTCAGTCGTTTTATA